CAGCAGCAGCAGCAGCAGCAGCAGCAGCAGCAGCAGCAGCAGCAAGAACTGTCTGCAGCCGCTGCTTCACATCTGCCTCTACAACAACAACAACAACAGCAACAACAGCCTCACGCCCAACAGCAATGTCTCCAACAGCATTCTAGTACTTCTGCTGCCTGGCAACAGGTACACGAAGTCACATTGATGTGCTACCCCTCGGCTTACTATGCACTTATGCGCATTTTCACTATCGACATTCCAGCCTGCACCCATCGACACTGTTATTGTTCACACTCGAAGGCACCTGGGAGCCATAAGGAGTTGGCTCGCGTCCTCCTCAGCCACCGCCGCAGGCACATTTCCACAGGACTCGCCCATGGTCCGATCTCTGCAGAATCTCATTGAGTCGGCACAACTGGCCAAGACTACGTCGTCATCGAACTCTGGTTCCGGTGGCGAGAGTGCCGGTGTGCGCTTGATTGCAACGCTAGTTCAATCTCTGCTGACGCATTATCGACCATCCAGATGGGCTGATCAGCCGGGAGGCCTCCAGGCTATGGAGCATCTGAAGGAGGCGCACATGATTACCCTGAGGCACCTTCTTTCCTGTGAACAGAGCTCGTGGGTTGCCAGACAAGTGAGTGAAGTAAATGCACGCATGTACTTACATCAGTATTTGTTGGCAAGTGAGGATGACGTGTCGATATGTCAATGACTTCGATTATGTTCTTGCCTACTGAAGGTGACATGCCAGTGGATTCAGCTGCCCGATGGTGACCTTGAGCCTTCAAGCGCAAACATCCAACCGGCGTCGTATGCGTCGCGAGTTGAACACCTATCCACTTTAGCAACTAGTGCAATGGCCAAGGTTGGTTTCCCGCGACCCATGAGGTTAGCTCACTTGTGCTTACTGGTACATGAATGCTTCTTCTCTCCGTGCTGTAGTCTGCGCAAACTGCGGTTTCGAGTGCAGGCAATGCAGGTGCCTCGGATGAAGCGTCGGCCAATGACGCAGGCATTGTTGGAAGCAAGTGGAATTGGGAAGCCTTCGCAGAACTGCTCAAAGTTCATGTGATTTACCTAACCCAAGTGAGTCGTTCGGTCGTTAAGTTAAACAAAACGCTTGCGGTTCGTAGACTGAGTACAGATTGTGCGCACGGTTGTAGTCGTGGGTATGTGAGGTACGTTGTTCATTGTAGATCGATGAATACTTGGCAGGAAAGATCGCCTCAGGTCACCAGGCGGCAACGACATTTGTCCTCGACTTGCTCGATCACTTTGTGCTACCGAGCTTAATGGGCACTTCGTCGTCCCCGTCCAACCCCACGGCCAATCCCAATTCGTCAGTTGCATCTCTTCTTGGCAGTCTGTCTAACACACTTGCTCTGGTAAACAGCAAACGAGCGTTCAATGTTCTCAATGAATACGACCTCTGGCTCACCATCCATGCACTCCAGGCACACCAACGCAACACCCTCATCTCACCCGGTGACACCAATTTGCGCTTGCGACTGTCATGCGCGCGCATCAGAGCGCTGCTTGACTTGGGTCTTTTGGGGGAGCAGTCGGTTGTCACATTGTGTCCTCCCACTGCGCCCCAAACCATTACTCTCTATGGTTGGTGCTCTCATGCTCGTATGTTCGATGATGCACTACATATGGAAGCCAAAACAAAGACGTTTTATCGTTGGTGGTCGGATTTTTACCGCTATCAGCAGGTGACTAGTGAAAATGAGTCACTAGTTGACCAGGTGATTATATACCTCGTGAACCTTAGTATTCTATCTCTGGACGAGAACTTAATGCAATTTATTCGTTTGTCACTTATTTACGTGGTGAAACATGCGTCACGCGCTCTTAATGCTGAAGAGCACGCCTCACCCTATTTCTCTTCACCGACGGCATTCGATGTAAGTAATAACCTGGATGCGTATGCGCGTCTCATCAGCATACTTATCTTTTGGATCGGAGCGAAAAACGAGACGCCAGTTGAAGCCAACCGAGTCAAGGTAGGTTCGCCTTCATTCGGGTCTGGCGTGTTTGTGGACACGTTGACTTGCAGCAAATAGATCATTGGTCTTCTTCACGACCTAGATTACTCTGATGAACAAGGTGCTAGGAATCATCGCCGGAACCCTTCTACAGCGTCACGAAGTGCAACCGGAGGTGTTCCACGAGCTGCCTTTCCAGCGCATCTTACTCAGGCTGCTCGGAGATCTTTGCGCAACGTGTAAGAGCGTGAAGGAGACACCTTCAGGTCATAGCGAGGGTGAGGAGTCGACAGGCCTTACTCTTCTGGAGTATGTTCCTCTGGCATTTGGCAATCTGCTGCACATGTTGCGACCGGAGCGGGCGACCCACTTCATATTCGGGTGGCTCGAGTTGGTGGCAAATCGGGAGTTTGTGGACCAAACCCTGGGTGCATCGAGGCAAGACGGCGTGTCGTCCACCTTGCGTGCAGCCTATCGTGCTGTTTACGCTCAACTCCTAGTCGACATGCTCAAATACCTCTCGTTCTATCTCCAGAATGCTCTCGTTATGAATTCTATCATCGTATTCTACACAGCCGCCTTCAAACTGTGTGGGCGTCTCTACTACAACTTTCCCGACTTCCTGTCCGAATATTGCGTGCTCTTTAGCAGCATCCTGTCATCAAATTCCCTCCAACTGAGGAATTTGATTCTTTCTGCTGAACCCAGACGAGGTATTTCCTCCACTGCTCCATTGAACGTGAGTTCGCTTCACCACCATGTGTCTAGAATTGTCGTTTGCTAAATCGGCCTGTTTATTGCTTGCATTTTACTTACCGCTGAGTAGCGTGAATGTTTGGTTGACGGTCACATTGATTCTCTTAAGGGACCACACGTGGACCAGCTGACTCAATTGGAGGATCCTTCGGGATACTGCATGGAAGCCGGTGAACGACTGCCACCCATTCTCCGTAGCGAAATCGACGCATATCTGGCGAACCGCACACCTGTCAAACTGCTTTCCGATCTCGTAACTATGCTGCGCTCTACCGACTCTCTTCTCACATTTCTCATCAATCCTCCCGGTCTCTACACCTCGGCTCTGGCCGCTGCCACCGCAGTCACCACCGCTACCGCCGCCACTCAGTCGACGAGAGTGGAGCACGGCGGTAGTAAGGCGGCGTTCCAGGAGGCCCAACATCGACCACAAGGAAAAAAAGCAAAGAAGGCGGCCGCTGCGAAGGCTGCTGCTGCTGCGGCGGCGGAGGCGGCAGCAGCTCAACAACAGGCTATCTTGTCTGCGGCTGGCCAACAGGCCAACGCCGCCATGCTCTGGTCTGCCCGCGCCACCCAACATCTCGCCACCTTCGGCCTAGCTGACAATCTCCACTACAACGTCGAGTTGATGATGAATGTAGTTCTGTACATCTGCATCACTGCAGTGAAGA